GTGTTCGCTGTGCCTCACAAAACCTGCCTGAGAGGCTGAGGTTGATACAGGGAAGGGGCCCTCCTGGGGGTGGGAGGTGCGGCAGTGACTGTGTCGGAGCTGCTATCCATCTCCAGGGTCATTAGCATCACACGTCATGAGGGCCCGCTCACTGGTGGGAGAGGAGTCATCCATCACGTCAGCTTGACTTTGCTCTCCTGTGTCCTGGGCCTCTGCCTCCGGCAATGCTCCCCAGCCAATGGGCTGCTGGGTAATGGAGGCCTCAGGGGTGTCCTCAGCCAGAACCACTCCCTCTGCAGCCTACCTCCCTAGGCCACAGGATGAGCTGCAGAGCCTCCCAGCCAGGCGGGGAGGGTCCAGGAACCGGGGGCCCGAGGTCCAAGAGAGGAGCAGCTGGGCTCGCCTGGAGTGACTGGTGTTGAGGGGCTCCCTCCCCCAAGAAGGAGGTGAGTGGAAGATGTACTTTAGCAGCCAATGGATCCACAGTTCATTTTCACAAACAGTGCTGAGGCTGTGCAGAGGGGAGACCTGAGCATCCTATCTTCACCCTCCGCCTCCCTTGCCTCCTGCCAACAAAAGAGCAAATCAGGACAGCACCTTGTGGATGCTTCCCTCTCTACCCTAGGATCAATACCTAATGCTGAGTTCAAGATCTTATCTGACTTTTGCAAGGAGAAAGCAACAAACATTCCCCCAGTGACTAAATCCTTTGACGATCAGCCTAGTGTTTTTCAGACCATCTCTAACAACTTTGAGCAAGCAAATGCAATAGACTCAGAAAACTGGACATCCACCCGGCCCCCAACCCCCACCTTGGCACTAATTATCTCATGGAAGACCCCAGGATGAAGTGAAGGGCAGGGCAAGGATGGCTCCTAGCTTCCACTGCTAGCTCAGCTCCTGTCTGGCTGCAGCAATCTGCCACGCAGTGTGCCTTAGTTTCCCACTGGGTGGGCATCCCAGCGCTGCTCTGACCAGCGAGTCACCCCACGCAGCTCAGCTCACACGTGGCTGCCTGTCATTCGGATGTGATGGTGTCTGCAGATCCTGGGCCAGCTCAGTGTCAGCTATATAAATGCCCAGAGCACACGGGCCGCTGCTTCCAAGATGGTTAACGTGGCTGGTTAGACAAGCGGAAACCTCTGATGTCACCACAGCGCTCCATGCCGGGAACATGGCCAGAAGATGGCCTCCCCAGGATGTCCAGTGGGAGGAAGCCTGGGTCATGCCAGCTTCATAGGTGGGCTGCACCCAGTGGCTGATCATGTAGACAGAAAGGGTAGCTGCCACCCCCAAGCTGGGACAGGGGGCCCAGCCCATCCCAGTGGGAGTCACAGGTTGGCTTCTCTGTCGGCTTGCCTGACTGAGCACAGACACTTCCTCACGAATCCCCTGCAATGACTGCTCACCCTCCGCCTGGTTATTAAAACCAGCAAACCAACCAAACGACAACCCACCCACCCAGAATTCATCTTAAACCTTCTTGCCCTGAAAAGCTGAAAGTCATGGGACAGGTGTTTGGCAGTACATCCCCTATCAAAATGCCTGGGTTTCAGTCCGGGCTCTACTTCCAACCCACCTTCCTGCTAACGTGGACCCTGGAAAGCAGCAGGTGATGGCTCAAGTGCTTAGGTCCCTGCCACCCATGTGGGAGACCCAGATGCAGTTCCAGGCTCCCGGCTTTGGCCTGGCCCACCCCTGATGGTTTTGAGTACTTGGAGAGTGGATGGAAGATCTCTTTCGCCCTCTCTCCCCACTACCCCCCTCTTTGCCTTTCAAAAGAAGAAAAAGAAAGCTAAAAGCCAGAACTATCAGGCCCTGGGGCTCTTTACTCCCAGCTCCTATATTTTCTAGATGAAGAACCTGAGCAATTCAGAAAGAAGAAATTCAGGCAGCTACAAGGAGGGCCAGGCTCTGAAGAGAAGACCAGACGACCCCACACTTGGATGGTCCACTCTCAGGGAGGCTGAGGCTGCTTGGGGGGACAACACCCTCTTTGGAGGGCTCTTTATCTCCTGGATTCTCTCCCCAGAGCTAGTGAGGCCCAGCCTGATGGCTCTGTGGACAGGGGAAGTCAACTGCCATGCAGATGCACCTGAGGGCAACCCTGCCTTCACAGGGATCAACAAGAAGCAAGGTCAGCAGGTTGCAGGTGTGTCTCCAGAGTCTGGCCCTGTAGTTGTCCCCAAACAGCAGGGGTCAGAGCTCCAAGGGTACACAAACAAAGGAAGAAAGGCCTGGTGCTGAGGACGAGTCCTCACCCAGGCTGCCCCACAGGGCTGGGCAACCTTGATGGAGAGGTGCCGAGCCTGTGCTGTGACATCAACTAGGGGTGAATGGGCTGGGCCTCTTTAAGAAGCGCTGCAGGCAGTGCCAACCAGCAAGGGATCATCCTCTGCCACTGCAGCACCTTCCTCCTGATAAGATCATGGAAAACAGGAAGCTGAGGAGGTGGCAGTAGGGCTGGGGCAAGGGGGCTGCAGGAAGACCCTGCCTTCATTGTTACCTCTTGATTCCAAGTGCACGCTCATCAGCCCGGAGGCAGGGCCCATTCCTCCATGCACATGATTTGTGCTTCTGTTGCAGTCCGCTCATTTACAAGTAATATTTCCCTCGCTGAGGTTGAGTTCACTAACTTCTGAGTATTATCACAGCTTCTCCACCCAGTTCCCAAGGAGATTCTTGCTTGGCTGTTTTGAGACCTTGGACAACCCATATAGGCCAGGGCTGCACCTACACAGAGAGAGCCCAGGGGTGGTGGCAGCAGGAGGAAAGGGGATGGGGACTTCTTGGCACACTGTCCCACTTGTCTTCTCTCTCCCAGGCAGAACCCCTGCAGGGTGCTGCTCCTGTTTTAATGTCCTGGGACCTGGGGCCAGTGCTGTAGCACAGCGGATTAATTCTGCCTGTGACACCAGCATCCCATGTGGGTGCCAGTTCAAGTCCCGGCTGCTCCATTTGTAACTCCCTGCTAATGGCCTGGGAAAGCAGCAAAAGGTGGCCATGTGGGAGACCCAGATGAAGCTCCTGGCTCCTGGATTTGGCTTTTGGTCTTGCTCAGCTGTAAGGCTTGATGACAGGGTGACACCTGTGGAAGCCCCTGGCACGGTGCCTGATACTAAGAGATCAGAAAATACCTTCCCCTTCACTGGACTTCCAAGGACCACAGTATGGCCTAGAAACCACACAAGAATCTTCCAGGATTTTGGGCACTGGGTACCACCTTTGGGTGGTGTCACCCACACTGAAAATAAACAGGTGAAAATGCTCTTCCAAACAAACCCCTCCCTACCTGGACATACCAGAGAAAGCGCCAAACTTGGAACCAGCAGCTTTGGCTTTGAGTCCCTGCTGGAACCTAGGGTGCATGAGTGAGCCCCCTCTGAGCCTCAGTCTCCCCATCCACACCATGGAAGTGATGACAGAGAAAAAGATGAGAGCTTACGCTTATGCACGGCTGACCTTGGTTTTGTGTAGCACTCTCCAAACAATCCCAGAGGGAGGTATGATTGCTATCCCCATTTTACAGATGAATAAACCGAGGTATAAAGCAGTGATGTGATTTTCCCAAAGTCACAGCCAATGCGCCAGGCTGCTGTGAAGGTGCACTCAGAAGCCTCTGTGGGAGTCAAGCTTCAGACCCCACCCTCCGCCCCTGCCAGACGCACAAGGTGGGCAGCAATGGAGGGGAAGTGTGAGTGCCCACTCTCACGGCTCTGTCCAAGGCAGGGCAGTGGGCAAAGTTAATCATTCTGCACATGCTTGCTCTCCCCTCTACTCACCTCCACCCCGCCCACCTCTTCCCTCCACAAGCACCCCCTGATGCTCCCATCGCCTAGCCCTCCGTCTCCCCACCGCGAGCATGCTGCAGATGCAAAGAGGAGAAACCAGACCACCAGGCACACTCCTCACAGCCTCTCCTTCTCCCACTCCCGCCAGCCACGACTCCCACTCCCTCCTTCCTCTCTCTCACTCAGCCTGTGTTCTCCAAACAGGAAAGACACACAGTCTGCGCAGGGGAACTGCTTCTAATCACAGGTGACAGCAGGAATGTAAACAACTCGAGAAACATCTAAATGCAATCCAAGTGCCACGGGAATACTGCTCACTCGCTGCCCCCTCTCTCAAGGATGCCCCACACCCTTCCCTGCCACATCCCTTCCAAGGCTCTGGTCAAAGGAGCCCCCCAGAACCTGGGGCTTCCAGACAACAGAAGAGATCACTAAGTCACAACTGCCTATGAGTCTATTACCTCTGGGGAGAATTTTCTAGATTTCTCTCATTTTTCTTTTTAAAGCGATAGTGTTAACATGCTCTTTTGGGGTAGGGAGAGGGAGAGGAATTGAGGAATGAGTTCAGATTCCCTGTGACAATCTGTTCAAAGCTAAGGACCTCTCCCAAGAAAAGTGACAACACACAACATTTTGTTGTCATTTCAAAGGCTCCCAGACCCCAGGTTGATAGCACAGATTGGACAGCAGGCGCACAGGAGAAAACACAAAAACGAGTACCTCCCTCTAACTGTCCCAGAGGCACTGGGGGGGGGGGGGGTTCCAAGTCTGTAATCACCGTATATAGCCAACGAACCTGAGATGCATCTGAGTGTTCTCTCTCTCTCTCTCTCTTTAGATTGACAGTCTGCTTTTAAACCATCTCCTTCAATGCAAATTGAGAACTCAATTGAGTAATTGCTATGAATAATTTCCACTTGGATCACTTAGCGCTGAGGTTAGCAAGGGACTAAGAAAGCCAGGATTAAGTGGGTTGATCTGCATGTATGTGCTGGGCACGGCTGCATCAGGAGACCACAGCTTCCAAGCCAAAAGGTAATGGTTTTGTAACCACCTGGTATTTGGACTTTTGTGTCACCATGGACCCCACTCATGCACAATTTCAACTCGTGGTCACCAGCACCTGCTCGACTCTGGACTCTTCAGTGGCTCTTTTGCCAAGGGGTTTGGAGTTGAGAAGAGATGGAGGCCCGGCGAGGGGGATCTTACCTCTGTGCCTGTTGGTAGTTTTGTCAAACATCAGCATCGCATCTTCCACCTGCAAGACAGACAGAGAAGACAGACTGCCTTAGGAGTGTCAACAAAACACACAAACCCAGCTATGCTGCGTGTGCATGCAGTGTGACAAGAGTGCTTTGGAGTGGTTTCCATCACAAAAGTAATAGTTGCTCACTAAAGAATATAGTTTTTTAAATGCTAAGAAGAAAAAAAAAATGCTTGTCTTTCCTACCCAGTACAACCACAGCTAATCAACATCTGGCCTATTTCCCTTTATATGTGGCATTTCCCCCACTTCATGCATGTAACATTAGAATACTGCAAAGCACTCCCGGGACACTGCAGCAGGAATACGACCTTGACTGCTGCAGAGGAGTTCATGAAGATGCCACCACTTATTTCCTTCTGCCCTGGTGGACATTTAGATTGTTTACAGATACTAACCATGGCACTCTGACGTATGGATTACGGGCTGAACTGCATCCCCCAAATTCCTGTGTTGAAGTCCTGACCCCCGATAACTTGGACTGGGACTTTATTTGGAGACAGGAGCTTCACAAAAGTAATTAATGTGAAGTAGGTCAGGGGGACCTGAGCCCAATGGGACTGGTGCCCTTACAGGAAGAGGAGAGTAGATGGAGGGATACATACACACACACACACACACACACACACACACACACACTGCGTGCCCATATAGGGAGAGGAGAGCATCCACACATTAAGGAGAGGCACAGCCCAGAAGAAATCAGCCCTGCTATACCTCGACTTGCGACTTCTGGCCTCCAGAACTCTGAGGAGAGAGTTCTGTTGTTAAAGCTGCCCAGTGCGAGACACTCCGACAAACTAATACACTGAAGGGAGGCCTTCACAGAGACACCACAAAGGAGAAAAGCCCCGGGCACCCTCTGCCTCTCATCGGAATCCCTTGCAGAGACTCCCCACACATCCTGCAACCCTTCTGGGTGTCTGCAGCTGTAAGATCTCAGGCTCTGCACTCAATTCCTACATAGATCTCCAAAAACACACACTGAATTAAATAGATCTGGCTTCAGAACCCACTCTTCATTTAGGATGCAATCCTTTCTTTTACATACACACACGTTTAGCACAGGGTTTGTCCTAACCAATTAGCTGCTCACCTGGGGATGGCACCTGGTCCAGCCAGGTGAGCAACCTGACCTCTTCATTTTGGGCTCAAGGTTGGCCATAAAAATGCAATACAACCCCATGGTTGTGGGAAGGTAAAACCTCTAGCCAGAGCACTTTGACCTTGAAGCCACCTCGGAGCATGGGGCACACTGGGTGTGGCTGGGAAGGAGCCAGCACTGTTGATTTGCACTCCCAGGCTCACAGCAAAGGACTGAGACTCATGGGCAAGCCCTTCCTCACCCCTCCTAGACCACACTCTGATGGAGGGGAGGTCACTGAGTGAGGCAATAGGAGGAGGCCTAAGGCGCACCTCTAGACAAATCTATTTCCAGATGCTCTCACACATAGTGGGGGGAGAGCAACATCGAGGGAACCATGGAAGAGGAGAGGCAGGACAGTCACAGCCTTGGAGTGCGGAGCCTAGCTTAGAAATCCTACGAGTCAGGGCCCCCTTTGGTTGCTAAGCAACGGAACCTGAACAAACAGGCTCCTGGGGCCTTGCCCTTCTGGTCCCCATGTCTGAAGTCAGTGACTGGGAGGAAAATGGTCTTGTCTGGGGACTCCTCCAGCAGGCAGCTGCCCTCTCGGGCACCAGGTGGACAGAAGCTGATGCTGTGCTGGAGAGGGCTTCAGCAGGGCTCCCTCTCCAGTCCCCCCCCCCCCCCCCCATCCCAGGCAGGCTGAGGAGTCCTCCAGGCACCTGCTGAAGCCACACATATGGGGCCAGCCATCTGCCTCCCATGGGAACAGAAACTGGTGTGTCTGTACCCAGAGCAGTTACACTGGGACAGAACCTGGGACCCCAGAAGAATTCCAACACCTTGGGTGCAGGTGAGCAGGGGTGCAGCCTGAAGGTAACATCTGCTTCACACCCGTCTCCGGATTTCCTAAGATGTTTGCCAAATCCTTATTGAGGTGAAATGCTAACAGTAAGGGAAAGAGCCTTACTTTGGGGCTGGCCACGTTTTGGTACAGAGACTCAGATCCCCTTAGGAAAGAAATATTTTGAAATTAAAAAAAAAAAAAAAGAATTTTCAAAGCCCCCTTTGAACAGAGGCTTGTTCCTCCCGCCCTTTCAGCACTCAGTCCACCCTGGTGAGTGTGGGGGAGGGTCTGTATATGTTTTTAGGGCGGCCATTGTGGCAAAGAATAGAGCTCTCTCCTCTATAGTCCAGTGGTACAATAGGACTCGCAAAGACCTCCTGAATAGATAAAGTGTCAGGGCGAAAGAAAAATTCTATTAGCACTTTACAAAATGCAACATCTAAGAAGCAGCTAGAAAGGAGAGAGAAAAGAGGGAGAAAATCAATATGGATAAGTCCCAGTGCTTGGAGGGAGAAAACTTTTCAGTGATTGCGAAAACACTTATTAATTCAGAGAAGCCATCAACGCGATGGAATCTGGCAGAACAGCAAGAGCTGAAACCAGAAGAATTTGAATATACAAAGACTGAATAGAAAGAAAACACAGCCTCGCATGCGGGACTGTTTCTCACGGTTCTATGTGAATCAAACACAAGCGGCCTGTGTGGGGCTCCCTCAAAGGGAACCGAAGGGCACAGTGGAGGTGGCTGGTATTCAGCCCGGGAGCCAGCAAACCGATAGCTCCCTCGGTCTCCGGTGCTCAGTCCACGTCCCAGGTAGACTGGCTGGCTGTGTAATCGCCCACATTAACATGCAGGCCAAGGGGGCTGGGAAGAGAGCTCTTCTCATTGCGTAGAGAACACCGTTAACCTTTGTTAAACACTGCCTCAATCCTCATCCTTAGGATTAACGCTGCTATTTATTTTGTGCTGCTGAAGCCCTTACCTGTCTTACAGATTTCTTTCTACCAAGCCCTAGCAGCCTTGGGTCCCCTAAGGGAGAGAGAAGAACAGGACGTGTCTGCACCCCTACCAGCTTGGTCCCGTGTCCTGGCACCAGCTCAGTCTGTTCTGGGAGAAGGAGCTTACTCCAACCTTGCAGTAACTTGTGGCAGGCTCACAATGCATCTTGAGCAGTGCATCTTTGTGATGGAAAAAGCAAAATGATTTTTAGGTGAAATGGCTGGGAACGGGACACCCTCGTCTCTGTCCTGACACCAAGACTTCTCAGAAGTGTGAGAGGCAGCAGGTTGGAGCAGTGAGGCTGCTCAAACCCACCCCCCACCCCACCCCCGCCTGGAACTGAACCACTGGAGTGGGTATTAAGCCACAGATCTCAGACTTGGTTGTATTCTCATTTCTAACAAGTACCAGCTGATGTGGCTGCCAGCAAGAAAGAGCACACTCTCCCATGTGTGACTCTAAGGATGAGAAAGAGCAAAGGTCAAAGGGCAGGAGCCGCTTCCACCTCTGCAACACGCTCAGTGCTCAACACGTGGAACACCACTGCTCTTCCGGATGTGACTGACCCACTCTGGCGTGGCAACACTTCTCCCTCTCTTTACTCCCCTTCTCCCCAACGTTTACATTCTAGGGTCCTGAACATGGGGAGGGTGGCACCCACGAGGAAACAATGACAAGCAGAGGGATTTCTTAGAGGCAACCAATCTGCCTTGGAATCCAAGACAGGAAGAGTGCAAATTCTACTGGGATGATACAAAAACTTTCCTCCTAAAGATAAACTCCTGCCTATGCCTGCAACACACAGCCAACCCAGCCATGATTAGAAGATCCAGCAGTGGAGACTCTAGTGACTTTTCTGCAACACACATGTATTGGCATTCACCACGGGCACAATATCAACCAAGCACAAATCAGATGCAGACTACATAGGTCTATGGTGCCACAGATGGCAATAGCGTCCCATACGCTTTACCCATAAGTCTGAGGCTACTCTCCCTATCCCTTGAATCTGATCTTGATTTATGGTGGTCAACGGAGAGAATGGGGAGGGGGTCCCTCCTGGCCCTAGCCTCATGAGGATTTGCACGTTCTGCTTGCTTTCTCTCACACTTCTGCCATCACCATGAGAAAGGCATGTCCAAGCTAGCCTGCTGGAGGGTGAGAGGCAGGAGACATGTGGAGCAGAGCCAAGTCTCCCCAGATGCTCAGTGATGGATCAGGTGACAGCCAGTCATCCCCAACACAGACAAGTGAGGCCAGCCAAGATCAGCAGTCACTCCCAGATAATGTGAAAGTTACTTTCACTGAGGTCCCTGTTTCTAAAAAAAAAAAAAAAAAAAAAAGCATACATTCAGAAGATATAGAGTCTCAAATAATACAGGAGCATAAACTGGGCACAAGAAAAGGGGCAGGAGAAGTGATAGTTTTGAACTGAGTATTAAGCTACCTGGCACCACATTCCAGGCAGAACATCCCAAATGGAACACAGGATGTGAAGGGACTTCACATAAATCCTGCCCTGGCAGCAAGGCTGGAGACAAAGATCCTGGAAGCACCAAGAGGAACTGGCAACACATTCCTCACTACATGAGCACCACGAAAATCCACCATAATTACCACTCAGGCCAGTGGGTGATGCCTCTCTAATCCTAATTCATTTAATGAATGAGTAAACCCACTTCCTAATGAGTTGAAAGATTTACTGTGAGCCAGACATTCTTGCTGGGTGACTTTAGAAGGAACCAGATGGTGCTGACCGGATCCAGAGGTCAGACTAGCCAGTCTAGCGCTTGTGCTGGCCAAATAGGAAACCTTGAGTGGCAATGCAACAAAGACACTCACTATATAAAGGGAACTCAAACATCCCATGTGTCCAGTCGGTTGGCCAAACAGTGTGATCCTAGAGTATGCCCCCCCAGCTGCTCACTGCCTCTTATGCCCAAGATTTTGCAGTTTTGGCTTCCCAAGCACATGGTAGGTGAGTGATGCCAAACTGACCTGAGATACAGAAAACCTGTTCCCAGGAGATGGCTAAAGGGGAAAGAGTTGCTGGTGACAACCGA